GAAAGTCTTGAAGACTCGGAAAGAGCGGATCTGACTCAGCTGACTTCGGAGAACTCAGCACCTGTGAAAAGAGGGGCTTTGATTGGTTTGCACCAAACATACAGTGATTTGCACGATCACATGTTGAAGCATGATTGAAGAGCAATGTTGACACCCTCTCCCGCTCGCTCGCTCTCTCTCTCTCTCTCACTCTCGCGCTTTCTCGCTCGTTCGGTCCCTCGCTCTGTCTTGCTCTCCCTCCTTTTCATTTTAGATCTGGCTTTTCCTTGATTTATTGGTTCCTGCTTGCAGGAACCAATCGACCGGCTTCAGCGGCGAGGGCCTTTGTGCCCCTCGAAGGTGCCAGATGAATTTAGTGTGATCTTTTACTGACACAAAGCTCTGAACTTGAAAAGGCTCACCGACTTGCTTTCGGCTGTTTGACTTATATATATATAAATATAACTGAAAAGCTAGGAGCGCACTCTGACGCAATTCACATGAATTAACATGCTAAGGTGTCCGGTCATGTCTCACGGGAAGACGCACACATTGACATCTTCTGGAACTTCAGTTCAAGCCGTACCTGATATGTTGGAGGTCATCGCTCTTAGGTTGGAGGTCATCGCTCTTAGGTTGGAGGCCATCGCTCTCAGGTAGGAGGCCATCGCTCTTAGGTTCGAGGCCATCGCTACTAGGGTGGGGGCCGTACGTGATATGTGCACGCTCAGCTCAGAGAGCTCTGTCTCCTTGCTCTCGCTCGCGCTCTCGCTCTTGCTCTTCCTCTGCCCCTCCCCCTCGCTCTCGGTCTCTCCGTCCCTCTACACAAATCATAGATGTTTACAGTTTATCCTTTCCATCGAATCTTGTTGCACAGGGGCTTGTTTTTCATGTTTTTCTTCTTTGGTGTCAGATTCGCTGGAAACTCCAGCAATGATCCTTCACCAGGGTACGGGTAGTGAAACCACGGCGACACAAGGCTCTTGGGCTGTTGCTGTTGCTGAATGCCATGCACTCCGACTTGAGGGACAACCTACGCCACGGCTGATGATTGATCTCTGTGCCTGGATTTGCTCCACAGGTTCTCTTCTTCACGTTAGCTCGAAGCCTGTAGCGAGGAAGGCTTCATAGCGCAAACATGGGGAAGCAACTCCTCCCAACAGAACCCCGACATGGGAGCTTTGGGTCCTTAGCGTCATGTTGTGGCCAAGCTGCGTTACGCGGTTCCCGGGTAAGTTTGGAGATATTATGTCGCGAGTAAGATGTGAGACTTGGATCGGTGCCTTCCCGTGTGGCCTCCATTTTTGGTCCCCACCGATTTCTTGGCACGTCCTTGCCGGACTCTCGACTTTCCACTGCCAGTGACGGTGAACGAGCTCGTCAAAGTCGAGTCACCCAAGGACACTTGGAGATGGGTGAGGCTGGTATGGGCAGTGGAAGAAAAAAGATCAATATTGTCCGTGAAGTTCTAGGCCATGCACAATGTGGCTGACAGGCCACTTGCCCTTGGATCCATTGCATACTCTTCTGGGTAAGCAAGCTGCAACTATGGAAGTGTGGTGAGACAAACAATTTCAACAGCAGCCCGGCAGTCCAGCAGCCCGGCAGCCCCGCATCCAGCCAGGCTGGCCTTGGTGGGCGAGAGGGGACACCGGAGCGGCGGGCGCCGGGTCAGGCGCGACCTGCAGTTTACGGGAATGTGTGGTGGCGCGATCTGCTTTATGAAAGCTCCACCCTAGTAGCGATGGCCTCCACCCTAGTTGCGATGGCCTTCAACCTAGAATCGATGACCTCTTACATTCGTGCATTGATTTTCTCCAACGATTCATAATTAAGCTTGCTTGCCCAATGGAAGGCTTGTGTGAACTGGGGCAGGTGGTTCGCGCGAACCTGCGGCCGAAGGATCACCTCAGTGGCGGCTGCATCGCTTCGGAGACTTGTGAGTGGATGAACCGGGAGGGCTTGAAGAGCTACAAATGCAGCTTTCGATACCATTCTTGTCTTGGAGGACAGAGGTTTGTGGATAGAAGGGGACATTAATTTTTAGATGGCACGGCCTTCAACTTGTTTTGGAGACTAGTACCGGGTTGCAAAAGTTTGAAAGGTCTTGGACATGAAGAATGGGCCTGCGACCTTACAATCTGATATGACATGTCACGGTCATTGCAAATATTGCAAAGGCTCTTGAACGTGTTTTGAATCGACTTGAAAGTCATTTGATCGAAGGATGCACTGGGACCCTTGGTTTGAAGCATGCAACTTCTCTTCACAAAGGAGGGCGAATGGGTGGGAGATGACCAGAGGCAGAAGCTCATGGCTCATGAGTCATTGGTTTCTCAGGTGTCGTTGGGGAAAGGATTGGCCGAGGAGGGACTCGGATGGTGATTGGCCGAGGACCGACAGGAGCATCCGCTGGCTTTGCCTCGCAAGGCGGGGCTCCGCCAGTGCTTTTCGGTGAGGAAGACGCACAGATGGTGCGCTGGCAGATGTTTGGCCATGTGACACTGGAGAATGGTGCAGCACCCGCCGCAAAGGCCAAAGTAAGAGCACACACCGAAGATTCTCACGACTGCTGCTGACATCCCAGAATGCTGTGGTTTAGATGCTGCTGGATTCGTACGTCAACAGCTTGAAACCCATGAGAACCACATATTGCTTCACAACAGTTGTGAACTCGAGATTTGAGCCCCATTGGTTTCGGCGTGTTCCGAATACATGTTCCAGATCCACCTGCAGCCGTTTCCTGCTCGAAGCGCTTGAGCTTTCATAGCAAGAGGAAAAACGGTTTCTGGGCGGGTGAGCTCCTTCGAGGATTGCAAACCAGTATAGCGGTAGCGGAGCCCAGACAGGGCAGGGGACACGCAACAGCAGCAGCGCAGCAGGGAGGAGCTGAGCCATACTTGTAGCTGCCAGCCCTGCGAAGGCACCGCGCTTGGAGGACTTTGCCTTTAACGGCGAGAACGTGCAGCCTGCGTGGACTACATTGAGGGCTATGTCTCCTACTCAATTGATGGAGGGCATTGATGCCGGCGGGTGGTCGGAGGGAGAGTGGCTTTGACGCATCCGTCCCAGCTTGGGATGAAGAAAGGGCTGATAGCCTTCCGAACAGTGAAGTGGCAGCTGACCTTCATCAAAGACGAAGAGTTTCAGCTTGGCAGCCTGGGTCGCAATGAAGCAGAAGGGGGTTGCGAAGTGGAGGAGGTTGATGACCCTGACCATGAAAGAGAGGTTCTTGGACGCGTGGGATTTCTCGCACGGTTCGAGCTTTGGGGGCGCTACGACATGAAGATGAAGAGAGGGCCATCAGAGTCAGTGGGGATCTGCTCAGCAGCTTAAACGTGAGGGAGATGCAGAAACAGATGCTGTCTGGCGTGACTGAGGCCACGCGGGCGTGGAAAAGTGACTCCAACGTCTTTTTCCTCTTAGGCTTCTGGCTCCCTCTTGAAGCTTCCGCCGTACATGTGGCAGAGCAGGGGAGATTGAAGCCATAGTTGCGGAATTGGGGACAGCTGCCAGCTGCGCAGGAAGGCCACAATGGAGAAGAAATTGATGCCGCGAGGAGCTGGAGCTGTTGACGCATTTGGTCACACTTCGATATTCCAGGAAAGACAGGGCGAGACTCGATCGGTCGGAGCTGGAAAAGGCAATGGCTTTGGGAAGAACCTTTTTTTTGAACCCAAGGACAATTTACGAGCAGGCAGGCATGCCTGTTTCCACTGCGGTTTAAACACTAGATGGCTTACCGGGCCTTGAAGTTTGCAAGTTTTACAACTCCATTTGCCCATGGGCAGGCCGCCAGTCCCAGATGCAACCAACTCATGGCTCGTGTGGACAGGTAAGAAGGAAGCAAACAGCAAGGAAACGACATAGCTTTCAATTTCTTGCTCTTAGTCTTAGTCCAGAACTGTTTAATCCTGAGGCCACATCTGAGACACACCAACTGGTCAGAACCTTCCTTGCCCAGTGATGATGGCTGTGCGTCACTTCAGCATGCCTACAGATCTGGGTTGTGGTGGCCTTCTTTGGGCCTGCAACTTTCCCCACTTGCAACTCAGCTTTCAGAACAGGATCTGTGTGACCCAGAGTTAACCAGAAGTGGGCCTTGCAAGCATTTGGTATCGACCCAAGAAGCCGCTGAGATCTTGCTTGCAGATTTCGCTGGGTCGCTCGCTCGTCTGCCCAAATGTTTACCTGTCTGTGCCATGGTTCAACGGTGGAGCTCAGCCAGGCTCATGTGAGACCTGAGCCAGGTTACAAAGGATCGGTGTGAGTTTTGTTGCAGCTGCTGCTGCATGGGTATCCAGATGTCATGGTTGTTGCTGTTTTTTGGTAGCCTCCAGTGTTGTCGGTTCAAGGAGCTTGCAAAAATCATAGAATGGCTTCCGGAGTAAAGTTGCAATCAGCCCAGAGGAAAGGACACAGACGTCGGAGGCGAACGTCGTGGACTTTTGACAGAAGTGACTAGACGCAGTCCTGGCGCAGGAGCCTCGACAGACCCTCGTGAAAGGAACATGGGGCATCGAACGCAGCCCGGGCGTCGTCAAGCAGACTGTGAAGAGGAGGAAGAAAGAAGAAGAAGGAAGAAGGCAGAAGGACGAAGGAAGAAGAAGGAAGAAAAGGGAAGAAGAAGTACAGCAAGTAAGAAGAAGGAAGATATATCAGGAAGAAGAAGGAAGAAACAGGAAGAAGAAGGACGAAGAAGGAAGAAGAAGAAGGAAGAAGAAGGCAGAAGGAAGAAGAAGAAGAAGGCGAAGGAAAAACACAAGAACAAGAAGAAGAAAAGGAAGAAACGTAAGAAGAAACGTAGAGGGAGACACATAATATACGAATAATAAGAAGAAAACACAAAGTATAAGCAGAAGAAACACATAAGAAGAAGACGAGAAGGCGAAGAAGACGAAGAAGAAACCGAGAAAACGACGAAGAAGACGAAGAAGAAGAAGAAGACGACGACGACGAAGAGAAGAAGACGAAGACGAAGACAAACAAAAGACAAAAAAACATAAGAAAAATATAAAAGAAGAACCACCGGCTGTGCTATGTTCGGGAGTTGCGTCGAGCTCCAGGACGGCGCTTTACGGATGGTGTTGGCGTGTGCACTCAGCCCGGCGTGCCATGAACATGAGGAACCCTAGCCCGAGATTTTCAATAACCAGCTTGCTTTCCGAACAGCGGTGGCAGTATTCAAGTTTTCGGTGTGTTCGGATTACGTGTTCCAGATTAACCCGCTGCCGTTTCATGCGGGAAGCGCTTTAGGCCCCACAGCGGTTGCCTTGTCAACGTAGGGCCTATGGGGGGCTTGAGGAATGGATGTCACTTCACGATGAACAAGTGAAAGGTTCTCTGTTGGTAAGAAAGTTGCTGCCAGTGGGCCCCAAGTCTCCTTTTCGCTGCCGAATGCCAGGCAGGCAGCGGAGTTGCGGGCACCGGTTCAGGAGGGCCCGTGCACCTGGTGGCCGGGCCGGGGAGCCAAGGCGGCAGTGCAAATGATTTATCGCGGGTCGCTACGGCCATGGGTTTGCTTGGATGCCTCCACCGAGGCCAAACGGCTTGGTCCCAACTGGGCCAGAGGAGGCCGGGTGAATATTCTTAGGAAGGTCTGCGAAAGTTATGTGCTGCAGGAACTTCTGCGGACCCCTTTGATTATTTTTGGCACCACATAACTCATTGACAGCGAGGATGGTATGAGCGTTTTCTTTGGGTTGAACATTTATATACTACTGTACGTTGCCCCGACGCGAGATCATCATGGATTTAACGGGAATAGTAACCCTCAATCTTCCGGCTTGCTTCTAGCAAGGTGAACATGCCGCAAGAGGTGCCGCGTTCCCTGCCTGAGGGCTACAAACCCGTTTGGGGTTGAAAACTCTTGAAGATCTTCGTGTCGCTGTGACTTGCTAAAGACTAGCAAGTTTCAGGGTTTTCCATCTTGGGCTCCAGCATTCCATGGATTGAATTCGGTTCAATGGAATTCATTGCATTGAGTTCTTACAGGCCGAAACTTGATGGCGTGGCCGAAACATTCCGGCATGAGGATGTGGCGCTGCTTCGGAGGTGAACCTGGCCAAAAAGACATGGTGTGGTCGATCGCCGATCTTCAATGTAGATTCTGCGATGTTTCATCCAGAAAAAAAATTCACATGTTTGATCCTAATTCGACATGATGCAATGTTTCGTTTCTGTCTGTGGACTGATGCGCATTTCCATACCAGTGGTCCAAGGAGAAGAGGACTGAGTTAGTTTGATGTGCTGATGTACTAGTAGGTGTTTGATGAAAGCGTTTACAATATTTTACAATTGTCCTTTTCTTTTCAACGGGGCTTAAAGTGCCAAACATTTCCTGGAGTTGGGCCGGAGTTGGTTGAAATACTGCATGTAAGGTCTCTCCCACCTTCTCACTCTTGGTCTTTTCTCTAGATATTTGAGCCTTTGTGATGCATTTTGAGAGTTATGTTATGTTTAGAATCTTTTCGTGTGTGGACCTCGTCCAAACCTTCAAAGCGAGAAACCAACTGCCTTTTATCTAAAGCAGTTGGTTTTTCGCTTCGCTTAGTTGTTAACTTGCTTCGTGCCATTGCCATGGCCTACCAGTACCCTGCCACGACGG